GATCCGAGGCGCCTAAAAAGGCCACCGAGAAGAGTAAGCATGTGATTTGACGTCCCGACTTCATCCGCGTGTGCAAAGTACGTACTGGCATTCAAGACACCGTCGGTAAAATCACGACAGTAATGACGGATGAAGAGAAGAATCGAATCTCGCAGAGCCGTGGCACTGTTGTTCTCGCCGAGACGGTAAAAGAGTTCATCCAAGCGGTCTGCAAGCGATGATCGGGCCGGGTACAGCAACGCACAAGGCAAGCAGGGAAAAAGAGACTTTATGATTCATGGTGTCCCTGGGCCAAAATCAGAGCCTTGACCAAAGCTGTAGCACCATGAACGCACCGTCGGGAGTGCTGGTCAGTAAGTGAACCACGAGCAGCTGGTAGGGGAATACTTCATTCGCGGCAATGCTCGTCAAGTCAATCACCTAGCCAAGCCCATCATGGCGTGCGGTGAGTGAATTGTCGGTGTCACACCACTGCTGCGCATGGTCTAGCCCGACGGGCGCATCTACCAAGGGGGTAAGTAGCTAGCTTACCTTGAGCACGGCCAAGGTTAAGGCACCGGCGCGAATGCAATGCACTAGCGTGCGCATCAGGTTGGTGGTCTGCCGGACGGATAAGTCCTGCAGCTGCTTGAAGCGATCCCAAAACGCATACTACTCGACATTAACCAAAGCATTTGGCCCAATGAGGGCTCACAGTGTAAGATCCGGCCGCCCCTGCTAATCTCAAACTCGCAGGGAACAAAGGGACAGGGCAACAGCACCTGCAGCGTAATTTTATGTTGATGCCCATACTCGCAGAGTTTGCAGAGCGTCAACGCATAAAACGGGTTGTGAACACGCTCCTACAGCCAATGCCCCAAGTCGAACAGCATGTCAGCATCTCGCCAGCTGAACAAAAGCCTCGCTGCCCCCCTCGCGCCCTCTTGTTCTTGATAAGGCCTTCATTCCAATGGCCCTTTCGGACACGCATACCTGAACGGCGCAGTCCAGTAGCACACGGATGAGTTCACGCTCCTGCTTGCCCTCGAGTTTGATTCGAAGCAGTTTTTCGGCTGCATCAATGTAATCCTCGCAAGTCATGATGGTGGAAAAGATTTGCCGACGAACATCCGTGTTCATGCGTTGTGAGACAGCCAGCTTTCTCAGCTTGGCCTCGCCCACACTGGCACTATTGTCCGGGCCTTCGGAGTTTCTTGCCGCGGTGGCGGGAGCACTGGCACCAGCACGAGGCTGTGCACCGGCCCATGCCGCACCCACAAGCCACCAGCGACCACGTGTATCGGCATCCAGCAAATCCCGCAGTGGCACACGCAAGGGGGTGACGGACGTCTCCCGCCCCTTGAGGGTGGCTCGCACTGCTCGTACCAGAGGGGCCAGCTGCTCTGCCGTATCTTTGACCAAGCGCGAGCGGTTGCTTCGCAAATCCTCAACGCCCTCGAGCATGAAGCGTACTCGCGAGCTATAGAGATCATTAGTGCATGTCAGGGGGAGTGCCAACACAGAGGCCAAGCAAGCTACCCAATGGTAGCCGACCGACTTGATCGGCTCGTGAACCGGGCAGGCTTGGGCACAAACACCACCTGCCAGTTTGAAGAAGAAGGCAGCTCACCTGGAAAAGCTACTGGCCGCGGCCTTGGCCTTGACATTGGCCAGCATGGCTTTGAGACCTGTCGGATCGTCTTTGCGCAGCTTGACGCCGCACGTTTGCAGCGTTTCAAGAATCAGTTCCACATCTAGGGCCGATAACTCTTGCGTAAAGTAATCGACCAACTCCGCCATAAAGTCGCTGCTGACGACACGAAACTGATAAAGCAACGCGATGACGCGACAAACGTTGGTGCAACGCTTGTCAAGCACCATGGGTTCCGTATCAGGGCCGGCAGTGGCTGCTGCGGCCGTCAGCTTGGCTACTTGCTCGCGACGCAAGGTCATCAAGCGGGTGACCAAGGTTTGCAAGAAGTAGGCTGACACCTACACCACCAGCGCCAAGTGTTGCACAATGCAGTCCCAATTAAAACATTTTCAAGCACAGTGGGCCGACACAGCAAGCAAGGCAAGCAACACGCGCCGGTTCGCTTTTCGCCCATTCGTACCTCAATACCCACAAGCGCGTGCAAGCAGGACACGGCAGCGGCATAAACCTGCAGCAAATGGCCCAGCATCTTATCTGCGATGCCGACGCGCTTAAGGTCAGCCGGTTCAACAGGCGCCTGCAATGGCCACGGCCGCTATTCAAGCCGGTCCCACATGCCGTTCGGCTACGAGTGGCGTACCTGCACCAATGCAAGCATCGTAGACAAACTCGGTAATAATTTCAGACACTTTGTTGCGACTGTTGCCGCGGAAGATGGTTTCCAACTCCGCGACAATGCGGGCGAGATTTGAGTCGTTCAGACTAATTGCAGTTTGGAAGGACGACAAAAACATCGTGAGCAGCACGTTGTCGAAAGTTGAGCGCCAAAGGGCGCATTCTTCAGACAGCCACCGCAAGATTCCAAACGTACCGATTCAGCTGGCCTTTGATAAGTTTGGCCACCGGGTCATTGAGACCCATGGCCTTGCGAAGGGCAGGAGGCACATACTTGCCTGCTCCACCACAGAGATGAGCAAAGCAAACCATGGACGGCCAGGGAAACTGAGCCATACAGAACGGTGTACGGGACTCACTCTTGGGAGTAGCTGATGCGTTTAACCCCGCATTCTCCGCTTGAGCACGAGCTTGGGCTGTTGCCCGTTCAGCCGCTTTTACTTGAGCTGCCGCATCTCCCACCAAATTATCTCCATAGGCGTCTCGTCGGCTAATGTACGCCACGCCCTTGGTTGGCTGCGCGCATCGCAAAAATAAGCAGGCTAGGGTGAGGTCTGCCTCAACGTACACTTGCAGCTTTGCGACGGTCCCTCCTTCTAGCGCATTTCATTGTTTTGTCTTCAAGTCGATATTTTACCTCGGATTGAACCGGGTTGGCCTGGTTGCCCGCCTCGCCGTCATCGTCATCGCTGGCACGTTGAGACATTTCGTCCTCGCTTTGGGCCTCATCGCGCGGAGTCTGCGATAGGCTTTGGTCGAGGTCATCAAAGGCTGAAGTATCCCAATCATCGGCCTCGGCATCGCTCTCCTCATCGTACTCATCCGTCAGATCTTCGCTGCCGTCTTCGCCAAAATCAACCTCAAAACCGTCCATTTCTGCATCAAGGTCATCATCATCGTCTTCTTCCTCGTCCTCACTGCCCAAGTCCGACAGCTCCTCGAGTGCATCAAGGCTCGCGAGCGCCTTGTTTGTGGCCGCCGTGCCACCGACATCCTCATCGTCTTCACTCATGTCATGAGGTACGTCTACGACAAATCGCGCAGGCCGCAAGGCAGGTTTGGCAACACGGCTCGAACAAAGCCACAGATAGAGGCGGGACGGGAGAAAAGATCAATCGCATCTGCACCTACCCCGGTTTTTGACCTGGGGTGCGTCATCTTTGTAGTTGAGAATAAAGTCCAAGTCTTCGCCCAGGATGGCACGGCCACCTCGCTTGTCCTTGGTTTTCTTCAAACCAAGTTTCTTTTCCATTTCACGGATGGTACGCTCGTCTTCATCATCAGCAACGCCGCCTAGGGTAGCATTGCCTGAGAAGCGAAGCGGGTGGAAACAGCAGCAGCAACAAGGAAACAACAACAAAGGATCGTCCGTTCAGTTTGGGAAAGCGTCATGAACGAATGAAAAGCCGGAAAAGCTCAACTTGTGGGTCCTGATCGTCGAAGATCCAAACGCAATGGGCAAGAAGAAGTCATACCGGCCACCAGGTCTTGCTCCTGGAGTAGACGATCAAAATTGGTGTTGCCTAGACAAGGTGTGGGGGGCCGCGAGTCAACTAGATGGCTTGGCGTGGTGGACGCTCAAATGTAAATGCAGGTGGAGAGACGGGCCGCGGTGCCGCCCTCACCAGTTGTGCCCTGATCAAGCTCGGTTTGCGCCTGTGCTTGGGCTGCGCGCTTCTCGGCACGAGCTTTACGTTGGCGTCGCCGCTTCGCGGCCCCGGCGGTGGATGCGGGGGCTTGGGTGGCTTGGCGCGCCTCATCTTTGCTGCGCTTGCTGGCGGGCTGGTGTGGTCATCGAGGTCAGGGCAGGGCACGGTGGGGCATTTCAAGGAGACACGCAACACCAGACGGCCAGACATGCACAGACCTGTTGGCTGGCCTGCGCTGCCGCCACGGGCTGACGCTTGCTGCGCTTGGCTTGACGTGCTGCACGCCGAGCCTCTTTGCGCGCTGTAATCTTGACTGGCCTGAAGAGCCGCAGCGATACACATCATCACTCCGAGTGAGAGACGCATTAAACCCACGATGCTGCCGATCCAAAAGTGTGGCTCATGCCGAGGGCTCACAAGCGGTGGTTGAGGTCAGGCCTGATAAGTGTCGGACGATGGCGACCACGTGTTCTCTGTGACTTACTCGTTGACGTAGGTTCGCGACGGGCCTTCTTCTTCGCCATCTACATCTTGCTCATTCACCCATTCTTGGAACATGCGCTTCAGCTTTGGCAAGCTGTCCGTCTCTCGAAGCTGCTGCTGTTGCTTTCGCGCCTGTGCCCGATTACGACGTGCCGGTGGTGGCGGCATGGCCGACGGTGACGATGTATCCGGATTTAAAAAGCTGCCGCACGACGTCACCTCGTTTTGTCAGAGCGCAGAGGTTTAAAATAGAGAGTAATTTTTATAATGCGTGCTGATGTGCTTTGACATGAAAGTTTTGATATTAAAGTTTTTGAAAAGTCTCAACGCTCAGGTGCACCGCGGCGCTTGCCACTCCACCACACGCTTCTTACTATCAGCGCCCTCGCACCCCTGCCAGATGATCAGCAAGTCTTGGTGCGGTGCGCGTCAGAAATAGGCTCGGTGTCGAGACGGTGGACCAGGGTCATGGGGACCACGCAAAGCTAAACCACAGCCAGGTGCCGCGTCAGGAATGAGGTGACACAGAAATTTCAAGGCCAACGAGTCAGGACACAAAGCAAGTCCTTCCTTACCAGCGTAGTCAGGGTGAAGAAGATGGGGTAACCAAAAGCATCGGCAAGGGCCCCTGCTATGAGTGACGCGACCGATTTGCCCAGCATCTCACATGCCATGAACGCGGTGTACTCGGTAGAAGCAGCTTCGGCGCTGACCTGCAAACCAACAAAACAAGAAACACCCGGTGAGAAAGCGGCGCACGCACGCGCGCTTTCAAAGAAACGGATCCTGACCGGATCCAGCTCGGCGCTCGTCAGTGTTCAACCCACCTTATTCATCATAAGGGTAAAGACGGCAGTGGTTAGTAGGCCGCCAGTAAGAGCCTCAGCAGCAATAACGGCAATGACCAAGCCAGGTGTTGTTGCACCGCTCAGCGCAAGATACCACCTGCCGCATTGGCAGGCTTGGCGGCCGACCAAGGCCCAGAATAGGGCAGTGGACGTGCTCATCTTCTGGCAGACCCAACCGCCGAGCAGAGAGCCTGCAATTGACATGATCATACCCACACCCGCTGTCCAACCGCTGATTTCAGCAGTTGAGAATCCCGCATCCACTAAAAAGGGCTTGAACATGACATCCGCCATTACCTCACCCAGTTTGTAAAGTAAGAGAAATGCAATCCATGACCGCGTCGCTGGGGAGAGTATCACCCGAAGAGCCGCCCGGGCCGCTGTTACCCAGTCAGCCTCGGCAGGCGAGCGTTGGTTGGTGCCTTTGCTGGCGCCGGATCCGGTTTTGCTCACATCAACCTCCCCAGGGGCCTCCGATCGGCGTGTGGTCAGAGGTCGCTCAGAGAACTGAACAATCATCGCCAAGGACAGAGCAGCACACAATGCCATGCCCCAGAACACGGTGCTCCAGCTGGTGGCATCGGCGTGGGCAGTGTCGGCGGTGTCTTGTCCCCAGGTAGCGACGTGAACCAGGACGCCGCCTGCCAAAAGCATGCCCACCTTGTAGCCCACCACTTGCATTGCATTGCCCCAGCCACGCAGGTCAGTCTGCAGGATGTCAATGGCAAGGCCATCCACAGCCACGTCTTGCACTGAGCCCGCCAGATTCATGACAAAAACAGCCACCAACACCACACTAAGGATGTGGGACCACATTGCTGCCATCACGGCACTGGTAGCTGCATGAAAAGAAAAAACAAATTAGAGTGGAAAGGTCAACATCACCAGGAGCAGGTGTAGGGAACAGCGCGGCGAGCCCGGGGCCTTCAAAAAAAGGAAATATGGGGCCACCTCAAGGTGCCTACCGAGGATGGCGGTGGCAGGAATGATCCAGGAGCGACGACGCCCAACAGTCGGCCAGTAGTATGTATCAGCAAAGGGGGCCCAGAGAAGCTTGAGCATCCAGGGCAAGGACAAGGCTCCCACAAACGAGATGGATGTGAGGCTGACATCATGCACGCGCAGGTAGAGCGGCAACGTCTTGACTTGGAAGCCGAAAGGAAGACCCTGATGATCCCCCGCCGCCGCCACCGTCAAAGGACAGCAACAGGTTTCAAAACAACAGTGCAGTCAGAGCACGCCTTTCATCCTAGCTGGTGCGAGCAGTGTGCGCAAACAGCCGCGTTGCGACAGTCGAGACGCTTTGCTGACGTGGTGCACAGCATCGTCGCGGCAATCGACGTACCTGTACGAGATAGAGGACGAATAACAAGCTCAGCTTGTGTAGAGTAGATAAAGATGGTGCCATTGTGTCCCTTGCAAGCGCTGACCACCCCGCCACCCCGCCCAAGCCCACACGACTGCCTGCCAATATCAGTCAAGATCAAGCAATCCCCCGTCTCATTGATCAGTGAACAACGAAATGAAACACAGCAAACGAATTCAGTGAAACACTGGTCAAGATGCACACACACACACACACACACACACACACACACACACACACACACACACACACACACACACACACACACACACACACACACACACACACACACACACACACACACACACACACACACACACACACAAGCGATCGTGGCGCGTGCGTGTGAAAGTTTTCTTTCTGTCGAGTGTGCCAGTGAGTACGGCGATCTCGGGCTCGTTGGCGGGGGGTTGAGGGGTCGTGTGGGGCAGAGAGAATGGCGCAGTCAGGAACCTGTGGGCGGGCAAGTCGTGAAATCTGGGATCAGGACGGGCCAACTCGGGCGATGCTGATATCTTTGCATGTTCTATGCTTAGTTCAAAAAAGCAATGCAGTTGTTTTTGCCTGCAGTTGTGGCGGCGGCCGTGTTGGCCACGGCCACGGCCATCGACAATGGTGGGTCGCTTGGGTCAGACTTGTAATGCCATAGGGCTTGGATTAAGCGTTCCACATCTCCGTTTTTTTTATTTTGTATTTTGCTATTAATTGCGCGCTTGGGCCCCTGCTCTTGTTGATGTCTGTCCTCCTTCTCGTGCGACATGCAGGCTTGGGAGTTAGCCCACCCATGGGGTGGCGCAGGTCAGTTGTTTCGCGATACCTCTTTTTCGTAGGGCATCGCAGAATCCCATTCTCACTTCCACCTCGGTCTGCTCCATCACTTGATGCAGTTGGAATGCTTACCATCACGCCGTCAACCAATCCATCATGGAGCGTTCGATTGATGCCATGGTGGCTCGAACCCGCAACGTCAGCGGCGTTCCCACTTCTCTTCTTGATCTCGGTCAGTCACTCGCTTCCAATCGCGGCACAATTCCCTTGCCACAGCGTGGGGTCGAGGCAGCTCACAGCTGCACCAACACTTGAATGCTGTCCTGATTTTTGTCGTGGATCCCTGCTGTGATAGGCTACAACAACTGCGGTCTTGATGACAAGTAAGAGCCGGCGCAGGCTTGCTCCCTTCGATTTCCGTTCCAGCATGTTGAATTTCCCCGCCGTGCTGACGCAATGGCTGCGGTTTTGTTAGCTGGCAAGCATGCGGCACTGGTGTGGGTGGCAGCTTTCACGACGACAAGGGCGTGCCCTTGATCAACACCGACACCTTCCCAAGCATGCGCAACATGACCGATTATGGTCATCAGCGTGGCATGCGGGTTGGCTGGTGTAAGTCAGCTCAGCTCGAGAATTCGATTTTTTCTTCTGAGGCTTCAAGCTGCCACGATCATGATTCTGATGCACGCTTCTTCTTCCCGTATAATGTGCGCTGCCACGCAGACCATAATAACTGTATTTGCGCCGAACACAACTTTCCCTCGGATCTGATTGATGCCCACTATGCGGGTGATGTCACCGCCATTGCCGGCTATGGTATGTGAGCAGCATGTGTCTGCACGCCGACCAAACTCACCGTTCGAATGGCCATTTGCTTTCCTGTTCTGGCTCGCTCAACTCGCCGTGACATACGTGGGCAGGTTACGACGGCGTGAAGTTGGACGGTTGTGGTGAATTCATGAATCTGACCTACTGGGCAGATCTGCTCAATGCCACTGGGCGACCCATTTTGATTGAAAGTACGTTCTTGCTTCTTGACTTCTTGTCTCAAATGTCCTCGTACGCACGTTCCATCTGCAACTCGCGGCCACGTCCCTGGACACCTCATGACACTTGTACGCCGTCCCGTCCGCCAGACTGCCATTGGGGCGATACGCTGCCAACGGTGGATTGGTGCCCCTTCAACTTTTATCGTACGTCGGGCGATATCCAGGCCAACTGGGCCAGCATGATGAGCAATTTGCACACCACAATCAAATTTCAAGACTGGAAGCAGCCCCTGTCTCGCCCTGGCTGCTGGGCCTACCCTGACATGCTGGAAGTCGGCAATCTCGCCTCTTTTGAAGAAGACCGCACCCATTTTGGTGCATGGGCGATTGTATCTTCGCCCCTCATCCTGGGCTTTGATCTTCAAGATCAAGCCAAATTCGACCGCGTCTGGCCCATCATCAGCAACAAGGAGGCCATCGCCGTCAATCAGGTACCCGACATGACGCTTTGTTTGCTACTACTCTTTTCTAGGTGGCGGGTTCACAGACCTAGCGCATTGCTCATGGTTGCTTTGGCGTATGGGTGCCATCGCCTCCTTTGGTTTTCAACTCGATGCGCGTCTGTCACGACCCGCTGCACAATCTTGGCACGGCCGTGCTAGCAATGGGCTGGCCATCCCGGCATGCTGGTCACCACGCTATCCCCCGAAGGTAGCAAGCTGTATCCCTGGGCTGAAGAATGTGGCAGCGACAGTTCACAGAAAGGATGGTGCGTCACAGCAGTCCAATTTGATAGAGTGGCGCCTCTTTTAGATGCCAACCTGGCCAAATACATGCGTCTCATCACTTTTGTCTTGTCGTGAGCACAGGACTTATGACCCGGCCTCCATGACAGTGGAATATGCCGGCTACTGTCTTGATGGATCTTCTTCGTCGCAACTGGCCTTGACTGCCTGCACCAATTCAGCCGTACGTGTCGTCGGCTCGTGGTACACGATGACTACCTTCCTTCCCTTCACGTCCATGCTCACTGAAATGCCCGCTCTTTTGATGTCCTTATTTGGAAACTCCCTTTGTACATGACGACAGGAGCAAGCCTTCGACTATCATGCCGGCGCCGAGTTGAAGTTTGGTGACTCTTGCGTTGACAACTACGACTTTTCTGGCCCCGTCGTTCAGGTGCGCGCACCAGCTTATTTTCCTCAATACTCATATCAGGACTGAACAAATTTGTGCCGCTCATCCTGCATTGCTGTTCCTTCCCTTGCTTTGTGCAATGCACGCGGACGATTGGGTTGGGTACAGATCTACGGCTGTAATAATGGCAAGAACCAGCTCTTTACCATTTCTGACGGCTATGTCAAGGATGCAGAGAATCTATGCTGGAGTGTGAAGAATAGCTCACCTGCTGGTAGCAACGTTGAGGTACGTGATGGATGGACCCGTGTTCTTGCAAACCTGAGGCGCTCGGGCCTGCGCCTTGCTGTCAGCCTGTGAGGCCATGGGCGCTCCTCACTCGTCGAGGCCAACCCCTTTGTCGCTTAGGTGTGGGCCAAGCCTCAGCCTAACAACGCCATGGCCGTGCTGTTCATCAACGACATGGCTTCGACCGCCTCTAATATCACTCTGGACCTCAGCTTGCTCAACATCACTGCAGATGTTCATGTGCGTGCAGGGCAAGCCGATCGCTCTGATGACATTTTAATGCCACCCTCACAAATCATCAACTGTGTGCTGTAGGTGCGTGACATCTGGCAACAAAAGGATGTCGGCACGGCCTCCAAGCAGCTGACTCCCGATTCAATTGCGTCCCATGATAGCGTTTTTTACCTCCTCACACCCCAGTAGGACAAATGCGATGCTGTTGTGCGGGACTACCTCCGGCCTGGCTCAGCCAGTGCCGACCGCGATCCATTCCCGTGGCAATTGAAACCAGATTGCGCATGGTGCCTCATTCATGCTTTAGCACTGGCTTCTGCCGGAACGGGCTTCCCTGCCAATGTTTTTTCAAGTTCGCTGCGCCGGGCAAGCAAGGCCGTTCGGCGCTCACTCAAAAGCTTAAAAGTGTCACTTTTTGGGGGAACGTCTTGCAGCAGCTTGTCGAAGCGGGTCAGTTGATCATCTAGATCATGATGCAGCTGCTGAAAACGCTGCTGCAGAACCATGTTGTCCTTGGCCAGATTATCCTGATAGCATGCATGTCGGTTGATGACGGACCGTCATGAGGCACAGCAACAACAGCAGTGTGATAGTTCTGCCTGTTGCATGCATCATACAAGCAAAGAAGCAGGGTATACCTGGGGGTTGGCGGTTGCCATGACGGCGGGGCGGGCATCTAGGACGCCCTTGGTTGAGATAGTGGGGTCAAAAGCATAAAACGAGGTGGGCGGCGCCAGGCGAGTTTCGATTTCACAAACAACATTTTGTGCTGTTCGTGCGTCGAGCAAAGCCAGCACCTTTTGAACCAGGTAGCGGTGCTCTTGGTGCTCGGCGTTGAGATATCGATCCAGCATCTCATCCATATCATCCATATTTTGCGCTAAATGGAACAATGATGATTGATACCGAGATCGTGAACGAAATGAAAATGCTGGCCAAAGGGGTGCAAAGAGGTCGCGCAAGTGTACGGCAGCTAACCGAGGTCGCGAGGACAGGTATCAGCAATGTGCGTCAGCATCGAAAGAATGTGAGTGGCCGTGGCTGGCTCTGGTACAGCCTCAAGCGGGGACAGAAAGGGGCGCAAGTGGTTGACAAGCACTGCAGCATAGCTAGGTCGCAAGGAAAGATTTCGCGCAGCGCTTCACGGACATACAGACACAGACACAGACACAGACACAGACACAGACACAGACACAGACACAGACACAGACACAGACACAGACACAGACACAGACACAGACACAGACACAGACACAGACACAGACACAGACACAGACACAGACACAGACACAGACACAGACACAGACACAGACACAGACACAGACACAGACACAGACACAGACACAGACACAGACACAGACACAGACACAGACACAGACACAGACACAGACACAGACACAGACACAGATACACAGACGGCGCGCCCGCCCGCCCACAACACATACAATCGTGAGGGGGTGCCGAAAGCAGAAAAAAATGGCACGGAGACCCCGCGAGGAAATGAAATGTGCATGCAGCGGCAGCACAGGACATGGCGAGGCTGTCTAACCGGGAAAGATGCTGTTGAACATCTTGATCACGGCAAACCATTTGAAGTGACATGCAAGAGTCAAGAATGATGTACAAGTCCAGCTCAGGCTGACAAAGGAGATTCGCAAGACAGGCGCAGAATGAGTCAAAGTCCCGCAAGGCAGGCCGACGACGACAAGATGAAGAGTGCGAAGAACAAACAAACAAACACAGAAACAAAGCAAGATTGGGAAATAAAAATGTTGATGGAGAAGTGGGGAACGCATACATCAATGGCTAGCGTGGACATGTTGGCGAGGATGCACACGATGTGGCACATGGAACGAGTGCGAAACGTTTCAGCCTCGTAGTTTCCCACCCCATTGGCGCCTTGTAAGTTGGCCAGGCAGATGAGCAACGGCATGGCCATGGCCTTGAATGTCTATCAAATGAATGACAACTTCCACATGAGCGTTAGGCACGAGGAAAGGGGCTAGGGCCGTGGCTTGGTCCATGATTGCCCGGTACGGCAATGTTAGCAGCAAGGCTTAGTACCGCATAAACGTCGCGAATCAAGTCGCTGTGTGCCGAAACATGGGCCAAAGCACACAGAAGCTGTTCTTGCGCCGGGGGAACCAGGTAGAAGAGAACGGCGTGCGTCATGAGAAGACGCATGTTCTGGCCCTCTTGCACCTAATATGTCAAACAAAAGTGCCGTGACATGAGGCCATCAAGATAGCCGAGCAGGCACTCATCGACATGAGGCATTGTTGAGAAAATCTTCCGACCTGTGCGATGCTTTTGGCACAAGCACGACTCTCGGCCAAGAGCTTGATGATCTGCGAAGCCACAATCTACACCGACAACATCCCAGGTCCCACATGAGTACTACAGCACGTATGGCTAGCAGGGCTTTGCCCCGAACCCCTCAGATGGCACATCAAATCAAAATCACCGACCTTTGTAGACCGCGTGCCATCAGCCATGGCAGTCATCAGGGCTGCCGGCAAGTCCGCCTCGATGGCTAGATCGTGCATGGCGCTATTGGTTGTCAATAGCTGATGCAAGATTTTCAGAGCCTCTACAGTGACTGCAGCGTCCATTTGGCGAAGTATCAAGCTGTGGGTGACAAGCAGTGATGCGCCAGTCAGTCAATGTCTCACAACCATGAAAGATGGCACCCTCACTTCAAAAGCGACACGCCAAGGCTCACTTTGAGAAGACGGTCAGCAGGCCGTTGTCCAATAGTTGGAACCACAGCAAAGGCGCCACGCTCATGCAGACACGCAGGCACGCAATGGCTTGGCGCTGATTTGCAGCACGCCATCAAAGGCAAAAGATGAGCACATCACACGACTGGTTTAGCAAGGCCTTTGGAGGACGGGCCACAGCCTACTTGTAGCTCGTTGACGGCCGAGTTGCAAAGGAAGAGGACGGCACAGGCAAGATAGCTGTAGCTCAGTCCCCAGCTATAGTTGTCCTTGCCCTTGGCTTCAAAAAGATCACGGATGCGTTGGAGTGCTTTAGCTTGCGCGGCCAGCGTCGTCTTGCTCGCTGCATATGTCAACTGTAGCATGGACCGAGCTGAGGTGGTGAGCGGAGTCATGAAGAGAAGATCAACGCTAGCGTGAAAGACACTGTGCCTAACCTTCTTGTTTTTCCACAACGCTGGGTTGAGGCTGTTGATTACAGTGCAGGGCTCATAGCATTGCTTGCAGACGCGGGCCGGCTTGGCGAGGTCCTATGGAACAGGTGATGCGCCCGTGTGGTCCAAGAACCAACATCAGAATAGCGGTCAGAGATGAAGGACAGGGCAAGAATATGGCACAAAAGGTGACGGCAGAAGGATCAGGAGGTTGACAGACGTGGGACGGCTGCCAAACATACGAGAAAGGTCATTGGCAGGGCCTGATTGCAACAGGTATCGCACGCTGATTGCCCACACGCACGACAATGGTGGCGGCGAGACGAGACGCCAAAGGCTTGGTGGCAGATGTAACATGCCCTCTAAAGCGGACACAAGTGCAGCAAGCGGTGAATAGATTTAGGCCCCACAGCGACAGGGATGTTGGGTGATTTGCCAAGTGAGCGGACCTCCTCATTCCAGACTGGCATGGGGAAACGGAGGAAGGGTTGAAGTGCCAGGTTGCGCCAAGGCTTGCGATGACGGTCCAATCGCACCTATCTCAAAGACAAGTTGCTGAAGAATGAGCGAGGAAAAAAAGGCAAAAGGATGGGGTAGGAGTGGCATTGGAATGGGCATGTATGCTCAAGATTGCGAACCTTGGACACTTGGACCATGATGCCATGACGGGGCGGGCAGGTGAAATAGCGCACGCTGCTGTGCACGCCGTCATGCTCACCTACCGGCTACGCGAGCGAGAGGAGAACAAGGGGGGTGAATGCCCATGGCCGGGGTGCGGGGCAACTACATTGGCCTGATCAAGTTTCATGCGCTGGCTTGCGCAGCGCACCTCTTCAAGGTAGACACCGGCCCATTCCCCAGCCTCAAAATGAACCATCCCGCAGTATGCCAGCAGGCCACTGCGTCCATTCACCAACACCCTGTCGACCAGGAGACGCGATGTGTGGAAATTATTTCGCAAAGGCATGAGTTCGTATCGCGGACGCAGCTGCATCAATGTCCTGAGGCGCATGCAGCTCACCGTGAGCGGACGGGGATGCCCGTCGAAGTCTCAGCCTCAGAGGCCGGACCCTTAATTTGCCGCGTGTTGATCATGTGAAGGGCATCTTGCACGCCAGACCTGGAAGGAGCAGGGGTGAGTCCTGCTCAGGAGACACCCCACCTGGGTTTACGTGTGCAGGGCGGTTCCGCATCATCTCTACGCACTTGAAAAAGCTTGCCAAGGAGCCCAGTTTGCGGCGCCGTTCCTCCGGGGCGGGGGCAACGGGAGAAGTCTGTTCCTGGCTCGTGAGAGTGGGGCCACGATCCAGACTTTGGCGTGGTGTTGGTTCCGAGGCTGCGTTGGCCACTGCGGCGGTAGGTGCGGTGAAGGAGTTGGCAGTTTGTTTGGGACTGGTGCCCGCTTGCCATGGGTCGAGAGTGGCCAAGGAGGCCGTATCGGGTGACAAGGCACGTTTGGGAATGACCAGAGGCTCATCCGCGCCCTCAAAGTCTGCGCCCAGGTCAAGCTGGAGTTCGACATCCAGCGGGTCCAGTTCGGCATCAAAAGCTTGATCGGTCATGTTCTGATCGCGCATGCTCAAAAGACCAGGCTGGTGGACCTCGACCAAGGCCTGTAGCTTGTCGCAGAGTGCCTCTGCTTGATTGAGATATTCGCGCTCGAGGTGAAAGATGTACGCATCACCGCGCGCCTCGCACACCAGGCGCTGCTCGCTGACATATGGAGGTCGCACCAAGCTGGCCACGGGCAGCTCCATGCCTTCAGCCTCCCAAGTCTGGGGCTCAAAGACCAGGTCGGTCTTGAGCAAGCTAAGGTAGCCCCGCTCATGCTCGAAGATCACGGGCAGGGGTGCGACCGCCGGCGGCATCCTGGCCCCTCCAGCAACAACTCCAGCCAGGGGGCAGAAACGGCGCAGACGGGCTGTTCACGGGGTCGTGGAGTTCGGCGTGTGGTTCCATTCGTTTTGCGCCAGAAATGATGACAAATAACAACCTGTGGACAACACGTGTTATCCACAAAATCTTCGAGGCAAAATTTCTGACATCTGACATCCCGCCCTTCCCGGAGCGTTGGTCTCGCTCCGTAGAGCCACTTGGCACGAGACGGAGCGTATAGCCTCGGAGCTCCACGGAGCTTCTCAAATGTAATTGTCGGAGGCCTCAAACACACTGAATGTGCACCCATGAGTGTGGGGAAGCCAAGGGCCAGCGTATGTTGGTATCGCTTCCAAGTGTGGTCATCCACCCCCAACAACAAAAGCCCCAACCTCCGAGACTGCTCCCGCTCCGTCTTGCTCAAACACCTTGCCGCACATGGCATGGCAGTCATGGATGCTGCTTGATGCGTCGTCTTGATCCCCCTCCACTACCACCCCACCTGCTCGTTTCCCCGCCTCCCCCACTTTGCCGTTGTGCCCCATCCCTTCGTGACAGCTCTCAACACCGAACATCCCGCTCTGCCACGACGAGGCAGTTCCTCCACGAGAACACAAGCAATCGCGCGTGGCCTTTTCCACCGCAACCTTCTTTCTCTCTCCGCTGCCTCCGACGGGAGCCTTTACTTTTCGAACCTACCCTTTTCCGGCCGAGTCTGAGTATCTGTCCCGACTCCTTGCTTTCGGAGCCCCACATAGAAGCTAGAAGGTATGTTGTGTCCAGCCCGCCTTCCGCTTTGGCTTGTAGAGGCCAATGCTGCCTTTTCGCACGCTGGTCGCCTCCGCTCCCGCTCCGACCCGTGTTCCAAAAAAAAAAAGTTGGCACTGAGTGTTCACCCTTTGCTCTGACACTCTCTTGGCTGGAAGGGAAAACAAGAGTTCAAGTCGTCAAACAGTGACGATCAGGAAGATGCGTGCTTCCAGCGCGCTTTTGTTGCTGCTACTGGGTAGCCTAGTGGTCGCCTCGCCCGCCCACCTCCTTCTGGACCTGTGTGCGGAACATTGTGAGACATTCCAAAACAACCAAACTGGCCTTAACCTCGACCAATTGCAAGAGCTTCTCGATGAGGTATGGGCGGGAAAGCTTGTGGGATCACTGTCTTATCGTCCTGACCACTGAGATAAGGCGCCCAAACTTGAATGCCATTTTGACCTGTTTTGCCTAACTCATGGCTGGACTTTGCTCGTTGGGCCTCTGCAGTTGGACACGCTGGTTCTCCCTGATTCAGCCGCGGTTGGTTGTTACGCTTCTTTCTGCTTGAAAAGAGCAACTTCTCGCTCTTGCGTTTTGCTTGCTCGCCCCCGCCCCCTCCCCTTATCACAACCTTCGTTGACGATGCCCTGTAGTGCTGGAACGCCTCCACCTTGGTTGCCACAACTTGGGGCGAGAGCGCAGACAATGTGTCGGGCACGGCCAACCTGAACACCGTGGCTGCCTTGCTCTTGCGCAGCGTTGTTCAAATTCACGACGATTGCCCCGAGGACTTTGATACGGCCTACAACCTCACGGAGATTCTGGCCTCCACCGCGGCCAAGCAAGCGGCCTGGACTGAGCTTAGTGAAGCCATTACCGGTCATCATGACCATGAACATGATCACGATCACGAAGAGGAAGAGCACGAGGAGGAGGAGGGCGAGCACGAACACGAGCATGAGGATCATGCTCTGACAGAAGGTCTGTATCGCTCCGCAACCATGGTGCCTCTCGCTCTCTCGCTTGCCTTGTCGCCAATCTATGAACACTATCTTACTCATCAATCCCATGCGCCCTTGTAGCCTTGACAACTCTTTATTACCTCACGAACTTGGAGCCCGTCAAAACAGCGGCTTTGAACCATCCCGAAGAGGCCTACGATGAAGACGGCGAGGGCCATGATGAGCACGACCATGAGGAGGAAGAACACGATGAGCACGATCATGAGGAGGAAGAACACGATGAGCACGACCATGAGGAGGAAGAGGAGCACGATGAGCACGACCATGAGGATGATGTCTGTGTGGCCGTCACTGATCTGGCAGTCGACGCCGCAGCCAACACCACAGATGACGCCCTTGTGCTTGCTGCTCCTGCCGTTATTCGTGCTATCATCGAGAACAAGGTCGGTGCCATTATATCGCAGGCATCTTCGGGGGGAGGGGGCGGGTTTGAGCTTGATTGATGTGTGTGCGTGGTGTTGTGTGCGTTGATTTTCCTTTTCTTTGTGACGCTCAAATATTCCTTGCTCGAAACTTCCTTCTTGCCCACACAGTGCCAAAAGCCCTCGGTGACAGCCTCGACAGAATTGGCAGAGGAGCTGTTTTCGCGCTATGCCGACGCAGCTGGGGCCATCAACATCTCCAGTCTTCAGCGCCTCATGGATGAACTCGGACTCGTGGCTTCAACTGACGACGACGGTCACGATCATGACAGCGAGGACGCTCATGATCATGACGACCATGATCACGAGCGCCGTCGTGCCCTGGTATGAGGACCGATGAATACCTTCTTGATCTTTCTGGATACGACTCCTCAGACGGGTCACCCCGGGCTCTACTGAGAAGGGCATGCTCACCTCGCGCGCACTCTTGACCTGGTTCCTGATAGGCTACTTCTTCTTGCCACAACGCCTCAGCGCTTTTGCAAGGATTGGGCGTCCTTCCTCCGGTCTATCCGGGCGACTTTGCCGTTGTCTCCAGCGCCTTGGTGGCCATGCTTGAATCAGATGCCTGTGCGACTGCTGAAACAGCTGCCTCGAGTGCCAGCCCTTCTAACGCAGAGCGCTACGGCTATGGTGTCCTGGCCACCTTCATTGTGTGCCTCATGTCGCTCAGCGGCGCCGTGGTCGTTGCTCGCGAAGTACTGACCCGGCGTCAACGCAACAAGGAAGGACTCAAAAAAGAATCTGAAACCCCCTTTCACCTCGACCCGGTGAGATTCGAGTGTCAGGCACCAATTGCGCTGTTGCTTTTGCTTCTCGTTGGCGTGCCGATGCCCCACGGCCACCCTGACCTTGCCCTGGGCTTCCACAGTTGCTTCTGCAAGGCATGTTTGCTTTGGCTATCGGCGCTCTGGCCGGCGATGCCATTCTTCATCTACTTCCGCTTGGCTTCGGTCTGCACGGTCATGATCCTTTGTCAGACCACTCGGACCACGATCATGGCAGCGAAGACCTTTCTTACATTGGCAAGGTTTGCTTTGGTGGTCCTACCATCCGCGCATCCCAGCAGTATTGTGGCAATACAAAACATTTGTTGTAGGTTTCTCTTTGCAACTGACATCCGCTCTGCTTCTACTGCTTGCCCGTCAACAGGGTAGCATTGCTCTGCTGGCTCTGTACCTTTTCTTCTTGCTCGAAATTCTTTTGGCTCGCTTCGTTGAGAGTCGCGCCGGCCACAAGCACGATCACCATCATCATGCCCATCGCCCTGTGAGGTACGCAGGACAAATCCAAACAGTGTGCCCAATGAATCGATTTTGCCTCGGGCGGGGTGGGCTTTGCTGCACTTCCTTTCTCTCTGTTTGGTGATCGAGCATCTGACTCGTCTTCTTGACGACGTCCTGCTGCAGCGTCTCTGACTCAGAAGCCATGCAAGATGAGCCTGCTATTGCACGATCCACAGGATGGCTCATTCTCTTGGGTGATGGCTTGCATAATTTGGTGGTACGTCCTTACTTCATCTTTTGAGCTCACATTTTGTTTACCTTTCGCAATCGTCATGAAGCGATACTCATGTTGCGATGTTGCTGTCGCATGCGTTTTGATATGTTATGTATGTATAGGACGGCCTTGTATTGGGCGCTGCCTTTTCGGCGAACCTGACAACGGGCATATCAACCACCATTGCCATTGTGCTGCACGAGCTGCCCCACGAGCTGGGTGACTTTGCGGTTCTGATTGAGAGTGGCTGGACTGTGAAGCGTGCTCTCTTGGCCAACTTTCTATCATCACTGACCGCCTTTATTGGGCTGTTCATCGGCCTGGCAGTGGCTGGCAGTACATTTGAATCCCAGCAATGGGTTCTCTCGGCTGCTGCTGGCATCTTCCTCTACATTGCCCTGTCTGATATCGTGCCTGAGCTCATGAGCTTGTTGGTACATTCCAAAAACTTTGTGCTGTCCCTGGCCCTTGCAACAGGAGGCATGTGGGTTAGCATTGGCATCATGATCGTACTGGCCAAGTATGAGGATGATATCGCCGTATAAAAAAAAGGTTGAATGACTTTCAATGTATGCGTGCGAGCTTTATTGTTTGAGTTGAGTCTCCTGGGTCGACCCCGCTCGACAACCTTTCTTTCATTTCAGATGAATGACTGAGTTTCAGGGAAGCCTTGGGCAACGTGCTAGTGTTCATATTCGTGCCTGTTCGTACAGAGCCTTACACGTGAGAATTGATAGTCTAGTGGGTGTGGAAACACGCAGATTATTGATCTATGACATTTGTTGAAATTGGGGATTGCACTGTGCCCACACTCTGGCAAAGGCGTTCACGTCATCAACAAAAGAAAAGAAAAATGGGTAGGCACAGGGCAGGCAAGACAGGCGACGAACACAAAACACCAATCATAGCAACGGGTGCTGGTTTGACCTCTGTCGTAAGCCCTTTAGAAAAAAAAAAAAAATACATGAAACTCTCCGAAAGAACCTATGGCCCTCTCCAGAACACAACTAAAGTCGAGTATCGGTACACGATACCCAGCCACTGTTTGTTTGCATGGGCAAACTGGAGGGCCTTGATATTTGCGAGCAGCATCATCAAAGGCAGCAACAGCTGTGGCGGGTGTCAAGAGAATTAAAACACTTATGTGAAGCGCGGGGTCATCATGGCCTCTTCGTCTTGCAGGTGCTTCTGCTTAAGGCACTTGATGGACACGGCCAGGCCAGCCTCACGCGCTGACTCGACGATGTGGGCTGACTTGCACGCCTTTTGCGCCGCATCGTCCAAGTCATCGGCAGCGATGATGTCCAAGCCTGATTCTGCAATGAGCGCCTTAGCCTCGGCCTTGCGAGTGCCTGCAGCAGGTTTGCCCGACGCAGGTGGAGTGTGAGCTGCTGTGTCTAAAGCCATCACCAACAAAGGCTGAAACCGAGACATACCCTGAAGACGGACAACAATCGGCACATTCAGATGAAGCTCGGAGGCAGCCTCGATGATGCCCTCGGCAATCACATCACAACGCATAATGCCACCGAAAATGTTGACGAGGATAGCAGAGACCTATGCGTTCATCCGTCAGGATTGCATTGAAAGAGGACCGAGTATCAGAGACCCGATTGAAGATGAGGGCAAGGATGCCTTTTTGGACTTCAAGAGCCAGCGGTCAGGTCGTACCGAGGGGTCAGAGGTAATGAGCTTGAAGGCAGCCGTGACTTGCTCAGCCGTGGCACCGCCACCCACGTCCAAAAAGTTGGCTGGGCGACCGCCGTACAACTGGATTTGACGCAGAAGATTGGACAAGCGTGGAGCGCAAGGTTGAGCGTTCAAATCGGGTTCGCTTGCCTGCGCAGATGGGAGTCGTCAGGGGTGTGGGGCCATACCTGAATAATGTCCATGGTAGCCATGGCCAGGCCGGCGCCATTAACCAAGCAACCAATAGTGCCATCCAAGTCGATGTAGTTCAAGTCATACTTGGCTGCCTCGACGTCCGCAGCATTCTCCTGTTGCAGGCAGGACCGGACAGAAGGCACAAGTCAGATGTATTGACAAGGGCTGTCGGGGTCTGAATATGGGCAAAGTTGGGCACTAGGCTGTCGTTTGTTCCTCGGGCACCTTTGCCGCAAGCAAAATCAAGGGCACGTCCTGACCTGAGACACATCCCGCTTCTCAAAAACGTCCTTTTGGCGGAAGCCCGCGTTGTCGTCAAAGTTGACCTTGGCATCGAGGCACATGACATCACCGCCCTTGGTCTGGACCAAGGGGTTGATTTCGACCAGAGTGCAGTCCTTCTGTAGACGTGGTATATCGGGTGGGCGTTGTGATTACATCAAAATGGTGTGAGACCCAGGAAAAGAGGCGAAGATCGGAAAAAGACCGGGAATGGGCGAAAGGACAGGTAGCGAGAAGCTAGGCTGACCTCAAGGAAAAGCGTATACAGATTGATCATCTCCTGAGCAGCCTTGGGGGCGATGTCATCGGCAAAGCCCATGTCCTTGGCAACCTGGATGGCCTTGTCCGTCGAAAGACCTGGATCAAGCGTCGCATGAGTGTCCCCGAGCGGAGGGAAAAAAAAAAAAAAAAGGTGGGCGAAAGATCTTTTTCGGCGAGGCATGCTAGGTTTCAAGCGCATCACGACAACATACCCTCCTTGATATCTACGGGCACCTTGATGATCGCATCGGGGGTAGCTTCGGCCACAGCCTACATTTCAGATGGTGAATGAATATAGATGAGGGTGTGGGGAGGCGCTGAGCAGACGCGCTGGACAAAAGGCAAGGGGGCACGGGGTTATTTGGAGAAAAAGAACCAAAGAGCAGAGGGGGCCTCACCTCAATGTCCATGCCACCCTGACTGCTGCCCACAATGCAAGGGCCACCCATACTACGGTCCATGAGGAGGGCAAAGTAAAACTCCTTATCGATATCCATGCATTCGGCGATTTGCACCTGTTTTTACAGCCATCGAAAGGCGTCAGTGAGAGCTGAAGGGCGGGCCGGAGAAGTGATTGAGGCGTGCCAAGTGCAACGCACCATGTTGCAAGGGCGGCCATGCTCGTCAGTCTGCTTGGTGATGAGACGGTGCCCGATCATGTTGTCGGCGGCTGAGCGGATCTCATCCTCACTGCGGGCCAAAAACCAAGGCGGGGCAGGCCGCGGGGGTTGCATTGTGATGAGTCATGCATCGACCGAATACAAAGACAAATTGGCTCGGGCAAGGTCGTCGAGAAGTCGATTGAGACTCACCCCTTGACGACGTGAACGCCACCTTGGAAGCCGTTGTCGAAGTGACCCTTGCCACGACCACCGGCCAGGACCTGCGCCTTGATCACAACCTTATCGGTGGCTAAACGGATGATAGGAAGCCATGATGAATGTGAGGAGGACGGGCGAAAATGTAGACGAGCCGTGCGGTGCGATGGCACGTCCAATTGGAGGCCAATGCGCGTGGGCAGGGATGCTGCCGCAAAGTTATGAGCGTTTGAGGTGCCAGGGAGCTCAGGACGTACACATTTGCTTGGCCACTTGCACGGCTTCGTCGGAAGAGAAGGCGCGATCGCCCTTGCCCACACTGACGTCAAAGGAGCGCAGGAGATCCATGCTGTCCACTATCAGAATGCAGACCAGAGGGGTGTCAGATGTAAGGGCGGATCGGATCCCACTCGATTGCGGTCCAGTTTCCATCGAGCAGGGCCACGGTGCTCGTGTTGCCCTTTGCTTGATGATTTCTTAAAAGGGAAAAAAAAAAAAAAAAAAAAAAAAAAAAAAAAAAACCCGCTGCACGTGTCGGTGTCAGCCAGCCACGACGTCACTGACCTTCGTGGAGATGAAGGCATCTCCGCTGTGCAATGGCGGAAGCGGCGACCAGGCGTTGCGAGGCCTGTGTGCCCACGGTCTGCATACAAAAGGCATGGTCGTGAGCGAACGACGAGCGGGGACTCGGGTTGATTGATTAATAGGAGCTGCGCACACCGTCAGCTGTCGGCACGCGAACAAAGGAACCAGGAACCGAGGCACACAAAAGAGCAGGCGACGACAAGTGGGCTGTGCCTGCCCCGGCCGCGAGCCCGTGACCCAAGCGACCAGGGAGCACGGGAGTAGCGGATTGTACCTGGAAGAGACGCTGCATCATGATGCCCGGAACAAGAACAGAGACGAGACGGAGAGAGAGAAAAGGAGAGAGAGAGAGAGAACAACGGCGCAGAAGAAAATTCAGCAGCCAGCCAGAGCCAGCCAGAGAGAGAGAGAGAGAGAGAGAGAGAGAGAAGAGAGAAGAGACAGAGAGACGAAGAGACAGAGAGAGAAAGACAGAGAAAGACAGAGAAAGAGAGAGAAAGACAGAGAGAGAGGAGAGAAAGACAGAGAAGAGAGAGTCCTGACCACACTATGGCACAAAAGAATGCGAATGCGTCATTCGAGGAGGTGCATTACAACATCCTGTGTTTTGGAGCTGGTCACTCGCTTCTTCCACTGCTGGCCGGGATGTGCTGCGATATCTTGTACTTTTGCTGCATCTTCTCGTAACAGAGAGGTAACACAGAGAGATTGAAACGGCTCCAAATGCTTCAGTAATCATAAAACGATCTGCATCAACCACAAACTGCTTCCTCTCGAAAGGTGTGGGGCAGTAGATGATGCGTTGCCATTTTTTGTATAGATTGCCGCTCTACTTTTCCCCCCAACTTGATACACGTGTTTCCCCTCACAGTCAATACCCTTCAAAATAACAAATATGAAATAAGAGGACACCCATCTCAATTGTCAGCGTTTTTCCAGTCCCCGCGGAGACTGCAGCAGACTCAAGCGGAGGTCTAACCGGCACTTGTGAGGCAGCAGCTGCTCTTTCTGTCTTTTCATCGTTACACAAAAGTCCAAGGCCCTCAGTCAGTCAGCCGCAGACCAGACCAGACCAGACCAGACCAGACCGCAGCGTTGCGGGTTCGTGTGAGCCTCAGCAGACTGGGTAAGTCGGGTCAGTGTTTCGAATGCACTGTCAAGCATCGCTCGGTGTTCTTCCTCTCTCTCTCTCTCGGTCTCGGCTCTAGGCGATTGAGGGCAGTGTCTGGCTTGAACGCGTTGTCGAGCAGCTCGAAAGTATCAGTCTTGAGCACTCCAGCTCCCCGACGCAGCGACTCACTCATGATTCTGTTCTAGCCGCGTCCAATTGGGGTAGCTCGTGCTTCAGATCAACGGCCGTGCGAGGTCCTGCACCAGCCTCCTTTGCCTGGTGCGGTCGACTCCGACACCATGGCACTTCAGCAACAAACCTTTGGCACTCGCCAAGCCGGACGCCGACTCGTCCTGAAAAACTTTAAGCGTGCGTTGCGTCTATTTCACAGCTCTATTCCTCACCCAGGCTTTCTCTCTTCCTCGGCGAGGAACCCTGCCGCGCGCCCTTCCAGCGCATTGAGGCGCAGGGACTCTATACATCACGTCGAGGGTGCTCACTTGCTTGATTGATTGGCGTGACAGCGCCCAGCATAAAGGAGCAGGAGTTGCAGGACGAGGAATGGACCACTCTGCGCGACGCCGTCCAGGCCATCTATGCCAAGCAAGCCATCAATCAAACTCTGCAGTCGCTGACCCTCCTGGTTGAGCGCTTGCATCACAAGCGCCAAAGCCCCGAGGTGTATAAACGCCTCAAGACTCTGATGCGCGACCACCTGATCGGCGAGCAGCCACGGCTGCGCCAAGCCGTGGCTGTGGACAGCCATGACGTGGCCAACCTTTTTCGCCTCACCTGGGAGGACCACATCCAGGCAATGGTTGGTTCACTCTCGGCCTTGTCACCTGTGCACTGGCTAGTCCCAAGCCCACAGCCCACCTCTACCGGGCGCATCTGCACCTGTCCCTGCCATCAGCATGCTCGCCTGTCTTTGCTTCCTCTTGGATGGTGGTCATCGGGGTCAGTGTTCAGGCCCAGGGGCGGTTCGAGCTGACTGCTGTTTTCTATCACGCGTGTAGATGATGATCCAGAGCATCTTTGTAACTCTTGATCGACTTTACGCACAGAAGACTCGGGGCATCGACCTCCTCTGGTCTGTTCCAAAGCTCGTGGCGCTCTGCTCTTTTACCACTCGCAATATGCCCGTCACCTCACGCTCGACGTTCTGGTGGGGTTGCCCGGGTGGCTCTCGCCACAGGCTGGTGGGTATCCAGCTATTCAAAGAACACATCCTCCAGGAAGACAAAAATCTGGACCGAGTAACCCGCGCGATATTGGATGAAATTCAAAAGGAGCGGTATGTGCCCACCCGTTCACAGGCACAGCGACACACCCATGCACCGTCACGGCTTGACAGACACAGCACCGCTTTGCACCCCACCTGGCCTCACTCTCCCTCATGCGTGGATTTGTCCTGCTGCCAAATGCAGCACGGGCCAATTGGCCAACGCCCAACTGCGCCCCTTGTGCCAAATGCTCATCGCCACCAAGCTCTATCGCGTTCTGGAGACCGGACTTTTGAGTGCAACACAGAGTTTTTACCGACACGACGGCATCGAGCGCATTGCTCGAGATCCGGTGAGACGCCCCTGGCCTTGGAATTTTGCTCGCGTCTTGACACAGGCTCACAGCCTAAAAAGTGCTTCGCATCAACACACGCATGTTCTCACGTGTGCTTTTGATTATGATGGATGCGTTCGACTCCTTTCGCCGTTGGCTAGCTGGACCAGTATATCGTTCATGTCACTTCGCGCTTGCGTGAAGAGGAGGAGCGAGCGCGTTTCATGTTGGCTGTGGCAACGCGCCGCCCCCTCCTCGCCTTGATTGAACAAACCCTTTTGTTGGAGCCTCTTGACCTCGTGCTTGGAGAAGGCTTCTTCACCCTGTTGGAGGCAGATGATTACAAACACCTCAACATGTTGTTTGTTCTGATTGAGCGGGTTGAGCGCCAAACTCAATTTCAATCAGCGCTCAGCAAGTACGTTGAGCTCAAGGGTGCTGAAATCGTTGGCAACCCTGACAACGACAAGGAAATGGTGGACAATCTGCTCGCGTTTTTTGACAAGATGCACCGAATCTTGGCCCAAGCCTGTGGGAATGACGCAGACACAGACCAGGCAATTGAGGTATGCCGCCGCCCTCTGGCCAGCTGCTTGCTTGTCACACTGGGCATGATGTCGCTCAACGAGTTTGGACTTTGCCGCCACACGCTCGCCTAAGATGTCGTTTGAGCGCTTTATTAACAAGCGCCAGAATAAACCAGCCGAAATGGTCGCCAAGTTTATGGATGCCAAGCTGCGGGCTGGTTACAAGGTATGTCTGTCAAGCTCGAATGCGCTTCTGTTGACTTGTGTCACGTATGGCATCGGGTTCAAGCCGATCTCATTTTCAAGCCGATATCATTTTCAAACTTTTTCGACTGTTGACCAGGACTCAACCGAAGAAGAGTTTGAGGCATCCATGAACAAGGTGCTGCACATCTTTCGTTTCATCAATGGTGAGTCATGCCTCTGATTGCCCTTTGATCTACCGCATACCGAATCACCACTTGTGCACGTGCCCGTGCGAAGCATTATTTTTCCGTCTTCTTCTTCGGCTGCGCCTGCTTCCTTTGCTACGTTTGCTTCGTTCTTTCTCTTATACATCGTCTCGTGGGCACTTGCTTGATGAAATGAACAGGCAAAGACGTGTTTGAGGCGTTTTACAAGTCGCACCTTGCGCGGCGCCTATTGCACGACAAGAGTGCGAGCACGGATCTGGAGCGCGCCATGCTGTCCAAGCTCAAGCAGGGTGAGACGCTTCGTTCCGATCGGACACATATGCAGCCAAACCTTGTGTGAAAGCGTGTGGTCGTCAGCTCCCACTTTCTGAGCTGTTTCCCGTGCTTCAAGTTACCTGGCTCACTGCTTGTTCGCCTCGATTGGCATCACCACAGAGTGTGGCGCATCCTTTACAGCCAACCTGGAGGGCATGTTCAAGGATGTGACCATTTCGCAGCAACTGGATGCCGAATTCCAAAACGTGCGCTCAACAACTTCTGGATGCGCTTGGCCCCGACGATGCGCCTTGCCCCGCTCACTCACAAATGTCAATGCTGCAGTTTCGTCGTGATACCGTTTCAGACTCACCCCTGGAGCTGCACGTGCAAGTGCTGACCCAGTCATACTGGCCCGCTTACGCAAAGCTACCGCTGAACCTGCCACAGAAGGTGCGAGTTGACCGCGGTCTTGATTGCCCGAGTCCCTGAACTTTAGAAGGACGAGCGTGGGATTGGGTCCTAACTTGCCAGGCCGGGGCCTTTCCCCCAAAACAGCCTGTCATTGCTTCAAGAGTGCACCGGCTCAAGTGCAAGCTTTTTTTTTCCTGTGGTGCAGATGATCCAAGCGCAGGAACTCTTCCAACAATTTTACTGTCAAAAACACTCGAGTCGCCAGCTGTCGTGGCAGACCTCGCAGGGTGACTGTCTCGTCAAGGCCGGCTTCAAGAAGGTATGGCGCCCGGACTTTTGTGAGCCGACTGTCCATATCCAGTTTACGCCCATGCTTGGGGAGGTGCCTTCTGCATGGCTCAATTCTTCATCTGGCGGACGAGTGCGCAGGGCAACAAGGAACTTCAGCTGTCGCTGTCGCAGGCGCTCATGCTGCTTTGCTTCAACGATGCCGCTGAGCTCAGCGTCAAAGAGATTGCCGATCTCACTAACCTGGGTGCGTCTCCCCAAACCATTCAAGAACCTTTCGTGCTCTTGTGAAACTGTGCAAGGAAGTGTTGTTTTTGTTTGGCACCTGATGGCGCGAGTCAACTCATGTGACTGGGATTCGCCCTCTTGGTTTCAGAGGGCAAGGAGCTGCACCGGACGGTCTTATCCATGACGCTTGGCAAGGTGCGGGTCTTGGAGAAGAACACCAAGGTAAGCATCCGGCTGGCAAACAAGACAGATTGCATCTTGGCTCTGTTTTGGCAGGGGCGCGTTCTAGCGTCACGCGTGCACGGCGGGCCTTTCGGAGTGAATGCACCTGGCTTGTTCACGCCTATTCTCGCGTCCTCGCCGACCCAACCATTCTTGCTGCAGACCAAAGAGGTAGCGCCAGAGGACCGAATTAGCATCAACGAGAAGTTTTCCAATCAGCGCAAGCGCATCAAGATCAATCAGATTCAACTGAAAGAGACGGTGTGTTATTGCGGGCAGCGTGTGGGGCCTTTTTTGGTTGATCTACGACGAAGACCAGAAGAGGGGCATGCTTTCGTCTGTTGGTCGTGTGCTCAGCGTTGTCTGACATGTAGGCGGAGGAACAGGAAGCAACTTCGAAAAAGGTGTTCAAGGATCGTATTTACACGATTGATGCTGCCATTGTGCGCATCATGAAGACACGCAAGACTCTCCGTCACCAATTGCTCATGTCTGGTGTGCTGGAGCAACTCAAATTTCCGGTCAAGCCGGTAGACATCAAGAAACGGATTGAATCCCTCATTGATCGTGACTATCTTGAGCGCAGCGCAGATGATGCCGGTGTGTACAACTACTTGGCTTAGGCCACCGGCACGGTCTTCAGACGCGTGTGCTCCGTGATGGATCTTCAACGAAATGTATCGAGTTGTCACGTTTTGCATGCCTCGCAAGCCCAATGATTGGGCGCACCTACTGTTCTTCCCCGAGGGATGGGCCATCAAGGCCAATTGACTGGTGTTGTGTGATTTGGCTTCAACGTGGCCGCAGTTCTCCTGGTCCATTATAACTGCCACAGGTTGAGCGCATGTTGTGACAAGGGTTTTGCTTGCTTGTCTTCACGGAGGGAGGCGGCAAGGCGATGCATTGTATGGAATCACCGCTGGCAACCGTTTGACGGTAACTGTTCGATGGCACTGCAGCAGAGGCGGCCTTTTTCGACCACCAGCTCATTCGAGGTTGATCATCAATTTGGTCCATCAAATGTCAAAGGGGAGATGGGAATTATACACACTGGCAATGCTTATGCTTATTCTGCGGCAGATACAGGCCTAGCTGTCGGGGTGAGAAGAATCGTTCTGGTTACGCGACCAATGGACAAGCTATTTTATGTACCAGTTCAGCCACCTGCTGCACAACGTGTGGCACATCTTCTGTGCCCGCCACACGAAACACCGGGCAATTCTAAGTGCATCAAAAGCACCACCACAGGTTGAGCACGAGCCGGTTCGCCTCGGGTAAGGCAGGCCATGTAATGAGAAGGGTCAGCAGAACGGACCATGGTTGGGGCGGCCTGCAGCAGTCGTTGTTGGCTCTGGGCGGCAGTGGGATAGGCGTGCTCTTCAAAATAACCCACGGGGTCGGGAGCTTCTTCATATACCCGGGCACGACGACGGGCGGCGCAGATGGCTTGCGGCACGTCCAACATAATCCAAGCGTCAATCAGGGGCACAAGTTCCTTGATGGCAGCCAGCATGCTACCCTCTACGATAACGGCTTGAGAAGTTTGCTTTGCGGCCCGGACGGCCGTCTAGCCAGAGGTGGAGATGGATCTCATGAGCTTCACCACATGCCCAAGAAGCACGAAGGCAGAGGCAGCCAAGGAGAAGAGCGGAGCAACAGGGCGGGCAAGACGATCCTTGAGGCAACCGCACCACAAGCTTCTGAACAAACAAGGCAGAGGGTGAGTCAAAGTCCGGCACAACTTTGCCGCTTTTGAGAGTCACCCGATCCGGGACGGCCTCGACCGGAAGGTAAAAGTCGTCCTGTTGGGAAACAAAGCACAGCCTCGAGTGAGCGAAGGGGTAGGCGGGTCGACACATTCCCCTGCACCGGCATGGAGCTGACTGTGTCATGTCGGAGAAGTCACTCGGCTTGGCGGGTCGGCTGACCTGGGCAATAAGCGTCAGCGGCAGGTCTAACGCGGCATGTAGCCGCGCGCACACGGTTGATTTGCCGGAGCAACTCACGCCCACCACCGCAATAGCCACGGCCGCCGGCACGACCGGCCCATCCTTGATCGATGATGTGTCCACCATCATCATGCTGACAATTCGTGTGTGTGTGTGTGTGTGTGTGTGTGTGTGTGTGTGTGTGTGTGTGTGTGTGTGTGTGTGTGTGTGTGTGTGTGTGTGTGTGTGTGTGTGCGGGCTGCTTACAGAGTTGGTTTACATACTTGCAAGACGGTTTCTCCGTCTGAGAGCCTGTTTGTCCATCATTGTCTGCCTTGGCTAATGTGTCTGAGGATAAGTCGAGGAGCCGAATTCGAACTTGTCGATCAATTAATTAGTTCACGAGGCATCGGGAGTTTGCAACGGAAAGAAAGACGGGTGCTCAGCACACAAACTAAAAAACAAAAGAAGACTCTCACGGGGAACCACGATACAAGACATTTAACATGCAAACTACTTCAGAAGAGCAGCGGGCTAAACGACATGTCTCCTCACCACACGCAACTAAAAACTCTAAAACCCAATCATGGCTGAGAAAGAGAGACTGGACCCACGGCAGACACACACCCACACACACAACAGACTATGTGCTGCGAGGCAGGAAGTTGCGGAGACCTTGTTTTTGTACATCGTCCAGGTTCTTGGGGAAGACCACGTCAAAGTGAACCTTGAGCGCCCCTCGTGAGCCATCCTTCTTGGGCATACCCTGGTTGGGCAGTACCTTGACGGTGCCGGGGTTGATGGTCGGTAGCTGCAGCGGCATGCGCGTGCCGTTGAGCAGAGGAATTTGCACAGTGGAGCCGCACAGCGCATCAACCAAAGGGATTCGGACGGTCACAAGCAAGTCGTCACCATCACGTCGGAAGGTCTGATGGGGCTTCTCCTGGATCACAAAGCAAATATCCTGGGCTGGTTGGTCGTTGAGTTCGTCACCCGCACTGGGGAAGGTCACCTTGGTACCGGCCTTCCAACCTGGACGGCCGTTGACCTCGAGCACGTTAGATACAGTCTTAATGGCGCCGGTGGTGGAATCTTGAATGCGCTTGGTCACCTTGAGTTTCTTGCTGAAGCCTGCCGCGAGCTCCTCCAAGCTCACGGGCAGGGGGCGTTCGACAATGGCGTGGGGCTGTTCGCGTGGGCGCGATGGTGCACGGCCGCGACCAAAACCACCAGGCATGCCTGCGCCGCCAAAGCCGCCAAAGCCTCCGTAGCTGCCAGCAAAGCCCTCGTCATCGCTGCTCGAGTCCATCGACTCAAACGTGTTGCCACCACCACCACCAAAGAGATTGCCAAAGGGTGAACCACCCATGCCACCCATGCCGGCAGAGCGCCGGGCACCGGGGCGTGCACCGCCCGTCGTGGTCGTAAACGTGAACCCGCCAGGGGCACCGCCCATACCGCCAAAGAACTGGCGGAAAATGTCCTCAGCTTGAGATTGGTCAAAGTGGAAGGTGGCACCACCCGGGCCGCCGGCTGCACCACCAGGACCGGTGGGAACGTTGCCCTGCAAGCCGGCTTCGCCATACTGGTCGTAGATTTGCCGCTTTTCCTTGTCGCTTAACACGGCAAAGGCTGCTGAAATTTCTTGAAACCGCTCGTTGGCATCGGCACTCTGGTTGCGGTCTGGATGGTACTTGAGAGCCAATTTGCGATAGGCCTTTTTGATTTCGTCATCGTTGGCGCCGCGTGCAACGCCCAGCGTTTCATAGTAGTCACGATGCTGAGTCGGCATGCTGCCGATGTGTGAGAAGAGGCTGCCCGACGCTTCCTGGCTTGCTGGGTCGAGCAATCGGTAAAGTCAACGCTTGAACAAGACTCTCGCACGGGCAAGATGTTGAACACAGGAAACAGGTAAACCACCAAGTAGAGTGATCGTCACTTAAAGGTTGTGCAAAAAAAAAGCAAAGGTGGTCGCGCGAGCAGGTGGAAGAACGGCTCGGCGGGCGTTGAGTCTTGAGATGATAGCACAAGAAGGATATGTAGCGGATTGGTGACTGGTAGAAACACCAGAATGAAAATGCCTGGGTGAGTCGTGGGCACGCTACATCCGGATGGAGCCGGTGTTGCCTGCATCTAGATCTTGCGCTCCACCGACCAGTACCAGCGTGGACGCCGCTGGAAAGCCTGGGCGCAGGCGATCACCACAACTTGACAGGTCCCATGCGAGCATCTTCACAAACTACACGTCATGCTACACAAATTCTCATTATCTCCCCACACAATACTACATTAACCCCAGTCCTATCGTTACAAAAGGTGTCACTCGTAAGGAAACAACGCGATCGTTGAAGAAGAACTTCCATTCGCTTCCAGCAACCTCTTTCCGAAAAAACGTCTGACATGCTGATAATACCATCCACTGTCTGACAAATTGACAAGAAGTTGTCCGGCACCTGCAATGTGAAGGTCATCATGATGGTGGCGTTGTGAGTTTCTGTAGAAGTACTTGGACTTGATGCATTTCCTAACGAGTCTTACATGTTGAAAAATGTGTTATTGATGAGGGTAGTTGCTGTTTATTGTGATGTTGTTTGATGCAGCTGTAACACGCTTTCTCCGATCTCAATCTCTCTCTCGACCTCTTCAGGATCGTGCCGCACAACACCCCGGCCTCCGGTCTCGTCATCACCCATTCGCCTGTTGCTCACAGATCGACTTGCCCGTCTCATCCATGAGACCCGTCCAGCCTCGAGCCAACTCTTTGCCTTCAGGCTGAAGTTGTTGCCTACTTCTTTTTAATTTCTTCAAATTGTTTCCCCCTTGTGTCTCTCTCTTTGCCACGGTGACCGGATCCGCCCCTTTCCCAAGTGGCTGATGACCCATGTTCATCGCTTCCGTTTGAACCAGCTCGCGGAGGGACCGCTCCAAGCGCACACACACAAGAAAGAGGGAAAGAGAGAGAGCGCGCGCGTGTGTGTGCGTGCGTGTGTGTGCGTGTATCTCTTCTTTCAAGTATGGCAGCACAAACCCGGTCGCTAGTCGGCTGGTGGGTATCAAGTCGGAGCGCCCGTTGGCCGAGGGCCCTGCTCGGGCCCCTCTTTCTGCTACTCTCCTTGCTGAACGTGGGCCATGGCATGCACGCCAAGCCCACTCAAGTGCTCAATGCCCTGGCCAAGGACAATACTCTATGCTATGGCTCCGGCCTGGCCAACGGACGCGCCGAAAGCATCTTTGTTGGTGTCAGTGGCCAAGATCAAGCCCACCGCGGCCTGCTCCAATTCGCACCCACTTTACACGCAGCACCGCCCGGCAGTGTTTTGCGCAACGTGACACTGTCTTTGTACGTGCTCCAGGCTGGTAGCACTGCCCCCACTCAGGTTAGCCTGCATCGCGTTCAGCAGCCCTGGGGTGAGGGGACATCCCAAGCCTCAGGTGGTGAGTGCGCACCAGCCACAGCCGACGACGCAACTTGGTCCTACACCTATTACGGCAACCGTACCCGCTGGCAAACGCCGGGAGGCGACTTTGATCCCAGCCCGCTGGTCAACCTGACCCTGACTGCGGCCAATCAGTTCTACAACTTCTCCAGCCCTGCCCTCAGCGCCCTCGTGAACGATTGGCTCACCGGCCAGCAACCAAACTTTGGTCTCTTACTCAAGCAACAGAACGAATCCCTGCCTGGGCTGGCACGAAAATTTGCGAGCAAGGATGCAGCCGACGTCAATGTTCAACCCCGCGTCCTGCTTTCTTTCCTGTTAGTATCCCCAACCTCACATCCTTGCGCGTGCCCCTGCCCGACCCTCACCAAACTTCACCCTGCCCAATGTCCCAAAGGTCACCCAGCAGCTCAACTCACAGCCCTCCACGCAAGCCCTCGACCTCAGCCCCGATCTCGAGCACCAAACCGGCACCGCACAGCACGTTCCGCCAACGTCATCGATCGCAACTTATTATTGGCCTGTGTACCATGGGCGTTGTGCTATTTGCCGCCGCAGGTGGCTATCTTCTTTGGCAACGCCTAACGCGCCACCTCACCTATCAGCAGGTTTAGCGCCCACATGAACAACTCAGCGTGCCTTCTTTCTAGGCCAGATTTGATCCATCATCGCACGCAGTAGTGTTTCTGTGACTAAACAATTTTGTTATGAATATTGCATCTCGGCGTGGTGATGCATTCCTTCAGCACAGCGGGGTGGACAGCGTTGTAGCTGCCGCTTGCCCATGCAGGCGCAATCCGCTTGCTTTCAAATTAACCGACTTTATCGCCACAACTACGCTTCATCCGTGCTCAAAACGATGACACTTGGCCTGTTCAACCCAATGGGCAGTTCCGGCAAAGCGTGCCATGCTGGGGCATGAAGCGCGTGAGTCGGGAACAGAAGACATTGGGAACAAGTTGAGTTGAGGATGGCAAAATTTCTTGACTCACTTCCTTGATGGAAATGCCATGCCTGGCTGACAGCCTCTGTTCCGGTCCAGCCACCCACGACAATCAATCCGCTGCGATCACTGAGTTCTGCGGCTGCCGTGCACTACTCGGGGAACAACCGTGCAGGGTCTGTGAGAAGGGTACCGTTGATACAGACTTTGATGCAGACGCTTGGAAATCGAAAGATAGCCAACCTCTCGCGCGGGCCCCGGTACGAGGGGCAATGGTGAATGGGTGTCTTGTGCGTGCGCAGCCACGACCTCCATATCATTAAGAAGCATGTCGTCGGGATTGAAACCATTCATGGCCCACAGTAAGCCAGACTCAGAGTCCAGCGCCTGCCAAGCCCAGACGAGCAAGACAATTTACGAGTTGCAACCCCGCATGAGAGATCAATGACAACTGCTGTAATCCAGCAACGACCCGTTCACGCCATCTCTTGAATGCTTCATGTGGTGCGCACCAGGGAAAAGCATTCGCGCGCGGTTCGCAACAGCCCTTCACACCGACTTGCGCCGTTGGTTGGGGAAACGTGCTCCCCTGTTCTTAACGTGTTTGCACCATCCCATCCTCCCCAAATCAACAACCTAAAGTGGGGCCTGATTAGCAACCAGGATAACCTGATCTCATCCACCAAGCCACATTCGCAATAAACGCAGTTCAATATATATAAAAAAAAACACGCACCCATCCCCTGATGAGCGCGCCGCAGCGTTCTTGCGCGGCTCTGTTAGTGTGGCCACCTGTGCTTGAGCTTGGATGAGCTCACCTGCATAAGCAACGACATGGCAACAATAAAAATATGAACAACCATCCACACCTAAACTCGGTTGGTTCCTCACCAGAACACGTCGCTTGGCATACACCCCACCTGTAGCTCGCTCAAAGAGATACAGGTCCACCGAGTCGAGAACTTCTCCATCAAACCCTCCAGCAACCATGACCTTTGCCATTGGCGCCCTCTCTCCCTTGCTGTATGCACCGACTTCACCTGCGACCGCACAACTCTGCGCCCGCAGACCTTGGAAAAAAATAAGAATAAAACCATCTGGAGGCAAGTAATCCCAAGATCTGCAACTGGCCACAGGAATATGTGTGTGTGTGTGTGTGTGTGGGGGGGGGGGGGGGGGGGGGGGGGGGGGGG